ATCTGTTAACAAAGGATAGTACTGGCTGAGACTGTGCAACATCTGGAAATGTTCTGGCCAGGGGCAAAATAGAGTTTGTACCAAGCAGCAGATGCTATTTAAAGAATAGATACTTTTCTTCCACTCTTTTTGCAGCTTTGTGCAAAAGATAGAAAATGTTTCAATATTATATTACATATGCACTCAAGCAAATATATCAATTCCAAATATGCCAATCAATCCAGAGAACCTAGAGACCCTTACTAGGGAAAAAATGACTCTGAGATAGATCTAAAATCCATATAGTAAAAACTGATCTAATTATTCACTATCCAACTACTCTCAATAGTAAAGCTAAAAGTGAAGGAAATATGTAGCAATACAATGTGTTCAGTGAAAAGATCCATTGCATTTTTCTAAATGAATAAAACTTTTCGTTAAACTTATTTTATAGTTGGATTACAATTTAATTTACAGCAGTTTTAACATTCTGCAAAAATGTGAATGGGAAAGGAGAGGTAATGACATTCCACTGCATGAAAACTCAGTTTCCTTCATTTAGTTTGGCATTCATTTTTGTTCCATTGGAGATGGTGGTCACTGAGTCACTGCCACTAATGAAAACTTTCTCTTTAATCTGCACCTTGAAACATTTCAAACTTTAGAATGTATGTGCAGCTTACAGCAGTAAAAACAGAGAAATGAAAAGGCATGTAAACATAACAGTAGCAAAGTAATGGAACAGTAGAATAAGCAATGAAAAAGACAAAAATGAGAAACACAGCAATGTGAGAGTAAAAGATGGGCAGGTAGGGTAGAGAAGCAGAAAGCGAGGTGGGAGGTGGAGTTTGCTATCAGTCTAGTGTGTACCCCCTTCTTGGTTCTTCAGACTAACTACCAAAGCCAGGTCTTCAGGCTCTTATGGAAAGATAGGAGGATGAAGGCAGATCTCATCTTAAGTAAGATGTTCTAAAAGGCAGGTGCTATGGATACTGTTATTCCTGATATAGATAGATAGAACCTGCAACATTAGCTTATTAGTCTCATCTATGTCACTTAAAGGTACATGTATGTATATATGTGTATGTGTATATGTATATGTATATGTATGTGTACCGTGTTTCCCCGAAAAATAAGATCCTGTCTTATATTTTTTGAACCCTGAAATAAGCGCTTGGCCTTATTGCCATGCGCTCAAAAGCCCGATTAGGCTTATTATCAGGGATGTCTTATTTTGGGGAAAACAGGGTATATGTATATGTATGTATATATATTCTTAAATTACCTTTTGGAGGTTGTATCACAATTTCCCTTAGTATTTAGGGGAAACAGTACAAAAGTATGAAAGCTATTGCTTAACGCATTGTAAGCTGCCCTGAGTCTCCAGAGAAGGGTAGCATATAAATCAAAATTTAAAAAAAACAGTACAAAAGATAAATCAGATTAAATTGTGATCTATAGTAGATACGCTAGTCCAGGTGTGCCCAACTGCCTCATGTTAAGAAATAATTCTGGTAGCTCACAATCCAAAATAATAAAAACAGGATAAGTACAATTTTTTAAAAAATATTATAGCATAGAATGTAAAATACAAAAGAATGGATGTATATAAAAGCAATGTAAAAATTTTCAAATATGTAAAATTTTATTTTATTTATATAAAGTGGTCCTGCATAGCTATTCTATGTTCAAGAAACTTTAGTAAGAATGCAATTTTCAGGACTTGTATTCTAACCAAAGGAATTCCTTGCAAGATTCTTGAAGAGTCAGTCAAATATGTTGAATGGCTAAAAAGCAGATTAGGGAATAATATACAATTATTATATTAGTAATGTCAGGTTCCAGCCATTGATTCCCATTCAACCTGTCGCCTAATGATATATTAGTGGGACTTTTTTTTTTTTTTTGGAAACTTTGCAATAAATCTTGATTGAATGCTAATTTTGAATAGCATTCAAAATTACTGAACCAATGCAGTTGCCACTATTGGGAAATTATATTAAATTAAAATATAAATTGTCCTTGTGCTTTTACATCCATCCATTCTCTTCAGTTTAAATCTTCAATTAACTGTAGTTCTCCATTTTGTCCAAACCAAGAATGACCTTAGACCTGGGTTGTTCTGAATTGGGGAACCATTACTTCGCATTAAGAAAGAAGTAAGAAAGGGAGACACAGAGACAGAATCCATAAAGATTTTAACATAATAGTTAGAAGAGTTAGTTAGTTAGTTAGTTAGTTAGTTAGTTAGTTAGTTAGTTATTTCCATGGGAATTTGTAATTGAATATTTCAGGACACAATTTAGAATCATCTGCTTGTTTGATGTGACTCATTGTGGCAAGTTTGCTTTGAGAATAAACTTTACTTACACATGTCTTGCCTTTGATGTGAGTTGGTTGGTCTGTAAAGATAGCCAGAGCTTTTCTTGCTCTGAAGAGGTAGATATGGATATAAAACACAATTGTCACAGTAAGGCAATATTTGGAGTAGTTGAGAGTCTATCTGAAATGAAAAACAACTAGGACAATAATGGGAGATTCAAGAGAATAATTACTGGGAATGATCTAGACTGAACTGTAGGGATCCTGCCAATTGAACCTACAGATAGGAATCTCAAAAAATTGCAAACAGCTTCTTAGCTTCCTGCTCTAGACCTGCCTGCCAAAGTAACAGATAACTCCAAACAAGTTCATCCGGGGCTCATTAATTTCCATTCAGAAGAAATCCCTGCTGACTCCATTCACATGGACTTAAGAAGGTCTTCAAGGTTTGGAAGCCACTGTCTACCATTGTTTCATAAGAAACAATAGTAGACAGTGCGAACAATCAACCAATAGAACAGCTTGCCTTTGGAAGTTGTGGGAGCTTTATCACTGGAGGCTTTCAAGAAGAGATTGGACTGGCATTTGTCAGAAATGGTGTAGGTCTCCTGCTTGGGAGGATGGGGAGATTGGACTAGATGACTTACAAGGTTTCTTCCAACTCTGTAGATCAGGAATGATGAGCACCTCTCCTGAATATCCAATAGCAGCTTAGTCCAATGTACTTTCCTGCTACCAAGGCCTTTTCATTGGTTTTTCTTTTTCTCCTTTACAAATGTTCACCTGAAAGGCCATGAAGGGAACTGTGCCTCTTTTGTAGCATAAGAACTAGGTTAATGTCTTTCTCTAGTAAAACGGGCTCAATTCACTTTGGATATTTGGATAAAACTATTTTTACTTATTTTTTTTAATGGGAAAAATATATTAACATAGGTCTTAACTGTGTATCTAACTTGGTATAAAAACTCTGTAATTTGCGAATTCCATGGAAATTCTTGAACAAAGATTAAAGATTAAAATGAGCAAATGAAGCACTGAGCAAGCATATCCTTTCATACTAAAGCTTTTCTTCTAAGGCTCTGTTTGGAGGCCTGGAGGCAGGGCCAATGGCTTTCTGTGCTCCTAATAGTAGCTGTCTTTTTTTAGTTTTCCATAGAACTTCTGTCAGGGGCATTTTTAAAAGACAATATCTTTCTAGCAGCAGCTATTCTTTACCTACAAGGTGCCTCAGAACCAGGGAACTCGCAGGTTGCAGTATTTGAAGAAGATAATTATAGCAGTTCGAAATGGGGGAGAGAAGGCTTCAACTGGCCTATTAACAGTGAGTGGCAATACTGTCTGCCTGAGATGCTGAATGGTAATACAGATAGTCCTTGACTTACAATAGTTCCTTTAGTGCCCATTCAAAATTACAATGGCACTGAAAAAGGATGATCTGATCTTGGCAACTGATTTATATTTATGATGGTTGCAGAGTCCTGGGGTTATATCCTCACTTTTTGCAAATTTCTTACAAGCAAAGTCAGTGGGGAAGCCAGTTTCACATAACAATTGTGTTACTAACTTAACAAATGCAATGATTCACTTAACAAGAAAGGTCTTAAAATCGGGCAAAATTCATTTAACAAATGTTTTGGTTAGTAACAGAAATTTTGGGCTCAATTATGGTTGTAAATCAAGGACTACCTGTATTAGAATTATTTTTCATACTTAAAAAAAAAGTATAGGAATTAACATGACACCCTGCCCACAGTACCAAGTAATATTTCTGTATAAGACTTATTCTTATATATATATGTAAAAATCCACAAATGTATAAGTCCATGAATGCAATACAGATAGTCCTCAATTTACAACCACAATTGAGCCCAAAATTTATGTTGTTAAGTGAGAAATTTGTTAAGTGAGCTTTGCCCCATTTTATGACTTTTCTTGCCACATTGTTAAGTGAATCACTGCGGTTGTTAAATTAGTAACACAATTGTTAAATGAATCTGGTTTCCCCATTGACTTTGCTTGTCAGAAAGTTGCAGAAGGTGATCATGTAACCCCAGGACACTTTTTTTTTTGCTTTAATTTATATGCCGCCCTTCTCCGGAGACTCAGGGCAGCTTACAATGCGTTAAGCAATAGCCTTCATACTTTTGTATATTTATACAAAGTCAGCTTATTACCCCCACAAACTGGGTCCTCATTTTACCTACCTTTGAAAGGATGGAAGGCTGAGTCAACCTTGGCCTGGTGGGATTTGAACTTGCAGTAATTGCAAGCAGCAGATGTTAATAGCAATGCATTAGTCCACTGTGCTACCGAGGTTCTTGGTGCTAAAACACTGCGATAGTCATACATGTGAGTCAGTTTTCAAGCACATGAATGTGAATCACGTGACCATGGGGATGCTACAATGGTCATAAGTGTGAAAAATGGTTATACATCACTGTTTTAAGTGCCATTGTAACTTTGGACAGTCACTAAATGAACTGTTGTATGTCGAGGATTACCTGTATATTATTTAAGCACATGTACCCCAGTTAAATTATTGGAAAAGAAGCAGCTAAATGCACTTTTAGTTTTCCTTCATTGTAAAAGGATTTAAACAAACTTGAAACGGTCTTTTCAGTGTTTGAAGTAGAAGATGAATGATTAGGAAATACTGGACCTTAAATTCTGCCTAATGCACGTTTTGCTTATTGTTGTAGGTGTGGTTACAAAAATACGGCTATCTTCCATCCTCTGACTCCAGAATGTCCGTGTTGCGCACTGCAGAGACAATGAAATCTGCTATAGCTGCCATGCAGCAGTTCTATGGCATTAACATGACAGGAAAAGTGGACAGGAACACAATCGAGTAAGTAAATTTTATTGCGATGCCCTTCCTTTTTGGAATTCCTGAAATCTATGTGGAAAATTAGAAGCATTGCAGTGGCTGGCTATCTAAATCCTATCTCGAAATCCTAGCTGAACAGTCTGGGACTTAGAATATTCCTTTCTTTTCATCATGTCAGGCGGTGGGGTGGGGTGGGGAGAAGAAATGTAAGGCACAATTAAAGCCTCGATAAAAGTCAATTTCTACAAGAAAGGGGGGAAAAAAAGAAGTATGAAAAATGGATTTGAACAGTCATGACATTTTTATCCTGATATGAGTATTAAATCAAAATTCACAAAAGAAGCTGAACAAGGAGATAATAATCAGATGTCCTTTTGTGGCTCAGGACAAAGTTAAGACACGTTTGAGGCCAGCCAGATCATGATCAAGAGTGTGAAGAGTATAATTAACAAGCTGTGTATAGACTTTAAATGAATCGGTGGTGGGAAAAAGGATAAACCCTAATTCCAAACTCAGTAACCTATCTTTTTTTCTGGTACCTATCAGTATCTGTGACCAGTGGTGAAATGTAAAATTTGTTTCACTGGTTCTGTGGGCATGGTTTGGTGTGTGTGGGGGGGTGTAATATGACTGGGTGGGGTGGCCGAAGAGGTTGTTAAAAAATGCTTTTAAAAGTCTCTGACGATCAGGCAACTCAGCTGGGATCGTCAGAGGCTTTTAAAAGCATTTTTCTACAACCTCTTTGGCTGAAGAGGTTGTAGAAAAAATGGTTTTAATAATAATAATAAAAAAAGCCTCTGATGATTGCGCAGCTCAGCTGGGCATGGCGGGGGGATGAGATTTTTGCTACCGGTTCTCCGAACCACCTGCTGCCATCGCTATCAGATCGGGTGATCCGGTCCGAACCAGGAGCATTTCACTCCTGCCTGTGACCCAGTCATGTTTCTCCCCATCTCCTCCCAAATGTCTCACAAATAGTGAGACAATTTTCCTATTCTAGTAACCACATATCCCATCATGCACAGCTGATCTAGCTAATATTCCATCCCCACCATCCAGTCAGAGCTGAAGAAGCTTCTTGGATGAGAAGCGAAATGTCTTCGAAGAAAAACCAGAAAGTCCTGTTGCCTCTTGAAAAAGCACCATGATCTGGATGACTGAGATTCTCCATAGACATCTAGCTATTATGCTGAAACTGCAAAATCTACCTGATACTGTGCGTGAGAACTGCATGTAATTCCCCAACCCCATTTCCTATAAGAAAAATAAGGAAGCAACAAACAATAAATTAACAACAGAAATGAAATTTTAAAAAGGAATGATTAAAACAAACAATTATAATGAAATATGGGGGCATTTTATAAAATCAGTGTTGGTGGAAGGCAAAGGGAATAAACCTACTCAAGAATATATGCTGTTTTGGAGGGGATAAGGGAACATTTAGAATATATTGTATATTTTTTTAGCTGTTATAGAAGAAGAAATATAAGGGGGGGGAAATGGTCTTCAGGGATGGGGGTGCACTGTATTATTTGTATATGTTTTTTTTGTATTTAGATGTGTATGTATATGTTCATATTGTTTGCATTACTTGTATTTAAAATAAATTAAAAAAAATAATTAAAAGAAAAGAAAAATGAGGAAGCCTAAAACATATTCTCCAGCTTCCTCCTTGACACAGAGGGTTCCCACATTAGGTAAGTGGTTGGGAGAGCCAACAAAATCCACAAAAAAACATGCAGAAATGAAACATGACCTTCAAACCAAATTCCTTTGCAAGCACTCCCAAGCAGTCTGCTCTTTAACCCAAACTTTTGCTTCATTTCATTCGGTCTTTTTTATTATAATTTCTTTGTTTTGATTGTGGTAAGTGGTCCAGAGTCATTAGGAGTCAGGTGACATACAAGTTGAATAATAATAATGAGGCAAGTGTCTCCCATTCCTGATCCTATCTCACGATTGATTTCTTTTTATTTATTTCTCTGATTTGTTTCTCTACTTTTTTAGTTTCCCAATTGTCAGAATTTTGTTATATGTTTCTAGGAGTGTAGACATGTTGCTGTTTCCTCTGTATTTTAAAAGTGTATTGAGCAATGATGTCACATAAATAAATACAAATAATAGACTAAATTCAAATAATAGACATAAATGTCTGAACAATGGACACTGGAATAATGCAACATTTGGAAGCCAGATGCATTGGATTTGGTGGGATCGTTTTTAAGAGACACATAAGGGTAGGTATGTGATAGGATTGTGCAAAGTATTTTGAAAGAATGCTTGTAAAGCACGTTAGAATGAATGGTGCAACCTTCTTGAAAAGTTAAAATATCTGGATTCTTTGGAAAGCGTACAAGGTAGCCTTAAATGTTTCCTCTGGCTGTTGTGAGGACATGCACAATTCATTTGTTGATGGTCCCAGTGGTATTGTTATCTAAGTCTCTGTTCCCAGGTCCAGGGTGAAGTGGTTTGTGTAGCTATTAGTGATTTTTTGGGATGTTATTAATGTATCTCTGAGTATTCATGTTTTTCTTTTGATATTATGTATTTTTTAAAAAAATTATAAATTGTCCATAATCTTTTTGGAGTAAAGCAGCTTCAAAATCTAATAAATAAACAAATGTTCAAGCAGTTGGGTGCATTCTTGGAAGCAGCTGTATTAACATATCAGAGGATGCAGCTGCTTTAATACTTTAATTTAAAGAGAGTGTCTTGCTTTTGCTAGTATTCTTTGCAAAGAATCACTTTTGCATGCTTTGTTCAACCTTGATGTCAAGTATCAAAACTGTGGTTAATTTGCATATTGCATCTTATAGGAGAAAAAGATAATTAAATATGCTGGCTTTTTTTAATCTAATTTTAATTCATTTTTCCTTGATATTAAATCACAAGGAGAAAATATAGCACCAGATCATCAGATAATCTCACCTGCTATTTGTTTTGTTTTATAGGAATGATTGGTGGAAATCCCTTTCTGCATTAATTTTTAAAACATTTTTATAAGGCTGAAATGATGAATACTAAACGATAAAATCAAATTAGGAAATGTTATTTGTGCTTAAGATCTATTTTGACAATCACTTAACAGAGATATAGACCACACTTTATTTACATGAGAATGACATTTTCACACAGTTTGATTATAGTACTTTGACTCAAAGATCAATGCTATCTTTCTCAGCACATTTATAACTTCCTTTGTTGTCAGCTTCCGGTAGCTAATTTCTGTTGGTGAAAAAGATTTCCTCCCAAATGCCACTAATTTAGCATTTAAAAGCTTCTAACACTCAAAATTGCCTTCTTTTGTCAAACACTTATTTGCTTTAGCTTAGCTATTTTAACTATTAAATCATGAAATACTTTAGTAGACACTAGACACGGGCTGTCAAACTCCTGGCCCGCAGGCCAGATGTGTCACGTGATGGCTACACCCATACCCAGTTTAGCAAAGCGGAAAAAAGTCCCGATATGTCGTGTGACGCCTCCGTGACGACATGAGTTTGACACCCCTGCACTAGACCTATTTGAAGGGTTTCTGATTCTAACGGCAGATAATGCTTGTGTATCAGGGGTCGAATTCAGTAGGTTCTGACAGGTCCTGGAGAATCAGTAGTGGAAATTTTGAGTAGTTTGGAGAACCGGCAAATATCACCTCTGGCTGGCCCCAGAGTGGGGTGGGAATGGAGATTTTGTAATATCCTTCTCCCAGGAGTGGGGAGGGAATGGGAATTTTGCAGTATCCTTCCCCTGCCACACCGACCAAGCCACGCCCACTGAACCAAGTAGTAAAAAAATTTGAATCCCACCACTGTTTTGTATGGATTATCTAAATTCAAGGACCCCAATCTAATTTCTTTCCATCAAAGACATGTTTCTCATAGTGAAATAATGTATGACCAAATGGATTGATTTGATTTTTTTTTTCAAATCTGAGATTAGAAATATAGAAGAATATATATATATAAAAAAGTAAAGTAAATTCTTGTCAGATTCTAGATTCCCATCAATGAAGGTGGTGCTGACTGGAGGGCATCAAAGTAGAGGGAGCTGATACAACCAATCCAGGGATTTCCCCATTTTTTTCTAATTTCTCTAGCATAAATCCTCATGAAATGTATGTATACATCATACTTTAAGGTACTTTCTTTCAAAAAAAAAAAAAAGGCTTGAATGCTTCAAACAAAACAAAACAAGAAACCCCTACATAGAACTCCACAAAATAGGGGAAAGAATTAAATCTTCCAGATTATAATATTATGCTCCACACATTAGTTTGAGATTGCAGTAGAATGTGAAGTACTTATTTCTTAAATAATGTGATATCAATATATGTCTTTCTACATAGAAATTGACCTGCTATTCCAGTATATACTTGAGTGTTTAAAACATTATAGTGTCAATAAATAAATTGAAATGGAAGATTGTCAATCAGGTATTACTATTGGGATATAAACACAAATGATATTGCCAAGCAGTTCTAATGGACTATTTGTGTGAAATATAAAGTATCTACTCCAGAATTTGTGCCAAATGGCATAAATGGGATTTTCACATTCACTTCAGCGAAGAAGATGTTTCGGTATACATAAAAGCTGACCTATCTGCTAAAATGAATGGAGAAGCTCTGCTATCTGGAAAAATAAAATCCAAATACCTTGCATACATGGGATATTTACGGATACGTTCCTCAGACATATTCATATCCTGCCTTCCCTTAGGAGCTCAAAATAGATCATATGGGGATCTCTTTTTATTTGATCCCTACAAAAGCAAATCTTTAAATCTGAGCAGGGTGACTGGTCCTAATCACCAGTGAGTTTCTACGTCTAATATTGGACTTGAACTTATGTAGCTGATATAAGCAGGTGTCTAGACACACTTTGTGAATATCTAGAGATAAACACAATGTAATTTAATTCTGGAAGGGTTGTGGACAAAAAAGCTAGTAGATCTATAAACACATTTTCAGCTTGTCTTGAAATGTGGGCTTTGTCTGTGAAAAGATTATGATTTGCTAATTTATCTTAACTTTGAGCTATGCTTGAAAGTTGTTGGTTGAAGTAGGGGCATCAATGCCAGCTACTACCTTATCAAAATACTATTTCAGTTACTCATTTCTTTTCTGGTTACTAGACTACTATAACAAAATTTATGCTGAACACATATTGGAAGCTGGAGTGACTGCACTATATAACAACCTAGATGTTGACGGAGCCGAATGAGTCAGGCAACATTACACTGATATTATGGAAACTGGTCTGCTTTAATTTTGAGCTCAAAAGACATTTAAGAAGAGTATTCATATAATTCTAGAAATGTCTGGTTTAACCAAAAAACTTGAAGTTCTGTGCCCTAGTTGGCAAGTTAGCAATAGCCTACAACTGTGTTGGCGAACCTATGTCACGCGTGCCACAGGTGGCACGTGGAGCCATATCTGCGGGCATGTGAGCATTGCCCTAGCTCAGCTCCAGGGCGCATGCGCGTGCCGGCCAGCTGATTTTCGGGACTTCCGGAAGTTGGGAAATGGGCCGTTTCCAGCCTCTGGAGGGCCTCTAGGTGGTGGGGAAGGCCATTTTCATCCTCCCCAGGCTCCAAGAAAGGCTCTGGAGCCTGGGGAGGGTGAAAAACAGGCCTACCAGGCCCATCGTGCCATCACATGCCAAAAGCGGGGGGAGTGGGAGGGTCATATGTGCATGTGCGGAGTGCATTGAATTATGGGTGTGGGCACGTGCACACACCACACACCCCTGCATTCCCCCCGCTTTTGGCACACGACAGCTAAAAGGTTAGTCATCACTGGCCTATAATACAGCTAAAACTGGTAATTATCGGAAATATCACTTTAATTTTAATACACTTTTTCATGAACTATATCATCTGAAAAGCTTTTGGAGAAATATATGAGTTTTGAAAATCATGTGGGAATATCCTCTAAGGAGCCTAATTTCTTAATATGTATTGCCTGTCAGACTTGTGATGTGAATATATAGAAACTTGGCATGGATCAGCAGAGTCAAATATGTATAATCAATTTGAAGGACGTTCCTCTAAGATGAAACTTAATATATGGTTCTTATTTCATATAAAATGAATCAATAATGTTATTGTGTACTTTACCACAATTACTAATAAAATTAGAAACTAAAAACCAGAATGGATCGGAAAAACCAGGGAAATCTATGCATAAACAAAATCCTATTTGGGTAGCCTTACACTTTCCCCTGCTAATCTAATCCTAATTGTTATGGCTTTACCTATTTTAATTGTTCTTAGTACTTCAAAATAATAGTTTTAATGGCTTAATGGCTTTTGTACAGAGTTTTTTGGGGGAGAGAAGTATGTAAATCACAATATTCTTTAAAAAAAAAATCCCTAAATTGGATGGAACAGTATTGTTCTTGTTGTTAGTTGCGAAGTCATGTCCAACCCATCACGACCCCATGGACAACATTTCTTTAGGCCTTCCTGTCCTCTACCATCCTCTGGAGTCCATTTAAGCTCACACCTACTGCTTCAGTGACTCCATCCAGCCACCTCGTTCTCTGTCGTTCCCTTCTTCTTTTGCCCTCAATCTTTCCCAGCATTAGGCTCTTCTCCAGTGAGTCCTTCCTTCTCATTAGGTGGCCAAAGTATTTGAGTTTCATCTTCAGGATCTGGCCTTCTAAAGAGCAGTCAGGGTTGATCTCCTCTAGGACTGACCGGTTTGATCGCCTTGTAGTCCAAGGGACTCGCAGGAGTCTTCTCCAGCACCATAGTTCAAAGGCCTCAATTGGAACAGTATTAGTAGCCTATATAAGAAAAAATGTTTTGAAAAGAGTTTAAGTAGTCAATTTTAATCTGTTGTTACACAGACATAACAGAAAGAGATGTTTATCAGTTAGAAAAAGAGAATAAACAAATGCCTTTACCTTCTGCTTCTAGAGAGTAGAATTCAATACTGAAGAGCCTATTTTATTTTCTAGGATTGTCTGAAGATTCTCAGTCATCCAAGTTATAGTTGTATCAAAAGTGGTTTTTATTTTTTGAAGGCAACTCGACTGATTTTTTGAGAAAGAAGAAATTTTGCTTCCTATTTTGCAATACTTTGGAAATGGTCATCAACTTTATTTACTATGGAATAGCAATTGATCTGCTCCAGTGTTAATTGTCTAAAGTATATGGTGTGTATAATAAAGTATGAGAGCCAGTTTGATGTTTAAGGCATCAGGATAGAAACTGGAAGATTGTGACTTCTAGGCATAAAGCCAATTGGGTCACCTTGGGCCAATCGCTCTGTCTCAGCCCAGGAAGAAGGCAATGGTAAACCACTTCTAAAAAAGTCTTGCCAAGAAAACTGCAGGAACTTGTCCAAGCAGTCACCAGGAGTCAACACTGATGTGAAGCAATACTACCACTAATAATAAATACTTTTCGCACTAATTTGAATTCACATGTTATACAAAGACAGACTGTGGTTTATTCAGTTTTAGTATAGTGTAACTATAGCCATTTTGGATTGTAAATTTGACTATCTGAATCAGTCGTATTTTATACAACAAATAACTGATGTGTAAACTTACGATATGTTATATGTATTTTATGAAATTTGCATCTATTTAAAAAGTGGAGGGTAGGCAATGCTGTGATGGGAGATTGCAATTACATAATAAGATTGTTGATGCATCCTTCCCATTCCAGAAACTGGGATTGGAATTCAGTTTGAAAGTCTGGGCAGTTGAGGAACTGATGCAACAAATCATATCAATGCTAAAGTATATTTTCTAACAACCTTTTCATGTGTGAGGCTTATATTGATGGTTGCATATGTCGCAATTTCCATTCAAGTATAGGACTTTGCTTCTATGTCCTCTCCATAGCAGCCTCTTTGGAATAGCTTTCCCCAGAGAATTCGAGGTCCCCACTTAGCCTTCTGGAAAGCTGTGAAGACTTGGCTCTTCATCCAAGTCCTGGGTTAGGCTGGAAGTGATCCCAGCAAATGTCACTGGAATATTGTGGTGCTGTAGTGGGAAGCATGATAGATTGATAATGTAGATACATAGTTTATATGGAATGTTGTGATCCATCAATTATGTATATGGTCATATATTTTTTGAAATAAATAAAATAAAAATGTCACTCGGCTTCTGAATTAAAATTATTTCCTGCCTATAAATTTGTTTTGTCTAAACACTGTTTGCTTTTTCTGACTGAATTCTTGTTCAATGTTATATAGCTATATAAATTATTTTTATAATTATATCACCTGGAGAATAGTTTCAATCTTCCTATGATCTTTAATTGTGACTGAAATAAGTTCTTCCTTAGCTATGTACTAAGCCACCAGTTACATGAGCTCTAATTTTTGAAAGCCAGCCAAAGTTGCTATATTAGTTAGATGGGCGGCTTAGAAATTTTAAGTAAGTAAGTTAATAAGTAAGGAAATAAATAAGTAACTCATGCTCACAAAAAATACCCCAACACTTCGGAATGGATGTTCTAGTGACATTGTTAAAGTATTGTTTAATATTGGTGTTTAGAATACTTCCTACATAGGATAATAGTTCTCTCTTCTTTTAAATCCCTTGCCTCTTTCGTTTGATGTAGTGATATCACCTTAAGGTGAGAGCATCCGTCTTTTCTATTTGGTAACTACAGTGTGTTTAACTGCTTCTTCTTGGTGTTATGTATCTGTAATTTAAATGCATGGAAATTGCATGCTATTCTGACATTTGTTCACTTTGAAGTATCAGTGCCTGGGAAATTATGGACTTTGTATGTTTTAAAGATAAATTGCAATTTAAAGATAATTTACATACACAAGTAGCTGTACACACATTTCTACAATAAATGGAAAAGATTTAAATTTTTACAGAAACTGCAGAAAAAAAACCCAACAAATTCTGTTATCGCTTAAGCTGTAATTTTTTTCAGTTATGTCAAAATTCTAGCTGAGATACATATTTCATTATAATTATTGCCTAAAAACCAGGTTATTGTGTGTATATTGATGTGTTCAAAATATTCAAATTGTATTAGCCTAAATTTAGACATTTAAATTTGTAGGTTTAAAGAATCAGTTGAATCAGATGATTAATTTATTCTTGTTCAGAGCTTTAGCTGCCAGAAAGATTACTGCCAGATTTTGTCAGATCTGCGGATTACATTGGGAAGATGGCCATCAAACAATGTGTTTCAAATAATCAAAAGTAATACAATTGACTAATACAAACACTCCAAGGCCATGTTCTCTTTAATGGGCTGCAGTTGTCCATGTACAGGCACAGAAAGAAAATCAATTATTAATGTTGTCCCACCCATCTATCCAAGAGACATCTTCTATTTAGCAGTTGTAAAGCTTTAAATTTACACAACTCCATTGTAGACATCCATTTTTTGATCCCGTTCAGCTGTCTATTTTCCAAATGTGTGTATCCCCAAATAAGTCACAAGGGGTTAAAAGAAAGTTGCCCATTTCCGTATGTCCTCTTATTGATAATGTAGTCATATTTCATGAGTGAACCTTTGTTCTCAAAGTAGATAGCTACTTTACCCTAACTAAAGCACATATACAGTTTTGAGAGCCAGGTAACCGAAGCTCTCTTACACCCTACATTTTCTGTATTTTGTGTATTAAACTGTGTGTCCACCATTTGAGTTATTTATATACATCTACATCTACATTATCTATCTACCTGTCTGTCTGTCTGTCTGTCTTTCTGTCTGTCTGTCTATATCTATCTATCTATCTATCTATCTATCTATCTATCTATCTATCTATCATCATCTACAAATGGCTTTTGCCATCTTTTGGAAGAGGAGTGGGAGGCTCCTCCCTTATTTACTTATTTTGACTTTGATTAAAATTTTAGTCTGGTTCAGAACAAATGTTTCCTTAGGAGTTCTTTTCCATTAAAATTTGAGGACAGATACAATTTTTGGATGTTTTTCACCTGTCTGGGATATCCCACGTGTGAGGATGTTACTCTAAAAAGTATTAGAGAAGCAGCTCCATGTTGCATTTAAATACTTATTAAAGCCAGTCAGTGAGGTTCCCTGATTTGAAAACTAACAATTAAAACACAAACCTGAATTTGCGTTCCTGAATTTGATTGAAGCTGGACATTGCTATTACTGTGAAATGTGCACACTATTGTTTGTGGAAGAAAAGATCTGTTTCCTTAAACACATAAATGTGTTTTTTTGGGGGGGTGGGGTAGAGAGGAGCATTCATTTTAAATTGGAAGCCTGCTCTTATCTCAGTAAGCCTACAGTTTCTTTTGTGGTGACTCCAAAAGACTTTTTATCTATTTCACTAGCATCGAGCTAAAAGCTCTTGTTGGACAAGAATAAATGATAATTAGGATTTCTGTTCGCAACTGATTATATTAAGTAACCATTTCATGCCATGGGGGCTACAGTCCTACGAAGCCTCTTTAAGTATATTCAAATATTTGGAAATTATTGGATTGATTTGGGATATTTTTTATTTGATAACTAATCTCTTCCCCTGGGTCTGGGTCTGGGTCTGGATGGAGAGTTCAGTGTGGAGAGGACTATTGATTTTAGAAGGGAGTAGACCTTAAAGATTGGGGAACCTTGATATCTTGAACTCATTGTATGTTAAGTTTAAAGCCATAGTACACATACTTTCAAATGAAATTAATAAAAGTCTAGAGATTGTTGTGATTTCTCTAGAAATCCCTATAATTTCCTAGGAATTATATAAAATATAGATATTTGTGTCCCATTTAAAATAATATATGAAGCTTGTGTCTAAATCACTCCTTTGGCTTCGACCAAAATAGTATCTTTTCTGCCATATTTAGCACTAAACTACAGCATCAAAATGCTATGGCCTTAATAGATAACCTGTTTGTGTAGCAGAACCAGATTTTTAAAATTGTTTTGTCTATCGTGTCCTTGTAATTTATTTAGTTAAGTCAGAAACTGTCCATATTCTAACATAGCACTTAGTTTGACTTTTTTGAAGAACAATTGCCTTGTAGATCTTTGAAATTAAACCACAACATGTCCATTTCAGAGAAAGTTTACTTTCTTTTCAGAAGATTATGATTCATGTCATATAGGTGTACTGACAGTCCTTTTACTATGATGAAATCCTTCAGGCTTTTTTCATATACATAGAGCTGTTGTGTGGCCAGAGATTATCATTTGGGTCTTTCCCATATGGGGGCCCATTTTTTTTTTAAAAAAAGAGGATGTTGCTGTTATTATGCTTTTATTCCCCTGAGTGGTTTATTCATAAGCAGAGTTAGTATAACGAGGAAAAGATACAAATAAATAAAATATTTTTGATCTTCAGAAGAAATAAGCATAACATGTTGAGGGGCAAAAGCTGGAAAAATAGGGAACACCAAACAAACTACAATCAGTCCAGCACAAACTTTGACATATTTCAATCATAAGAGATCAATTCTGTGACTTCATTCTGCATGAATGTTATCCAACACGTGAAGTTAGACATAAAATCTCATTTATTTTTATTTTGTATTGCAGTGTTCCAGCACTGGAAGTTGAGAACAGCTCCATAAAAATAGCAAAATATGAGTAATCCAGCCATTTTAATTTCAGTAACACAGATTTTAATACAACACTGGGAAATAGTTGTAATCAGCTACAATTATAGGAATATAGTGATAATGATGTTATAATGTAATGAAATGATGGATTGAAAAGCAGGACATCTTAATAGTAATGATTGCCTTGCAATAATAAACATTATTTATTAGGTTAAACTGAAATTTCAAACTGATGAGGAAAAATAATAGTACACAAGTGATACTGATAAAATTATCCATATTTAAATATGCTCCCAGAGTCTGTGAGTTTCAAATGATGTACTTTCCTTACAGATTTAATTTTTGTGCTGAATCAAATATATATTGGATTTCTTAGATTCTGTTTTCCAGATGTTGCCAATGCGTATCATATCAAGGGCTCATGGGTAATAACACAGGGAACAGGTATCCAGAACCTTATTAATATTGTGTGCACTCCATGCTAGCATTTATAAGAAAGGGTGGGAGGGAAAGAGTGAAAGAAATATGGCAAGCTGCCCAGAAGCAGTTGTAGAAGTGCACCAAGGTAGAACAGCAGACTGGTATGCCCGGCAGAGGCATCTCATAATAATATAGGTTTAATTTCATTCTTACAATCTGCATTATAATCTCATAAGGTGAGGAACCGAAGGGTGGTAGCTCAGAGACAGAACATATGGTTTGCATGCAAAAAGCCAAGTCCATTGTCTTGCTATCTCTAGGCATGGCTTGCAGGTGTAGATTCCTGTCTAGAAGCCAGTAAAAAACAGTATTGAGTTAGATTGATGAAGGGAATGAATAAGAAAAGAGGCAGTTTCCTTTGTTTCAATGAGCAATTTCAATTACCAGAGGCTTCACTTTATAATTTAAGCTGTTGCTGTATCCTGCTCCTGCTCCCACAAACTATTAGTTTTGAGACTGAAGGAAAATCTAATGAAACTTTATTCAGGAACCCATTTCTTTCTTTCACAAACTAGTTGGACAAACTTGCTTTGCTATAAGATTTTTTGTTAACCGTACAAAATCAGTATGAACAAGTGACAATGCAGATCCTGTTAGGTTAGAACAGTGCATAAGCTCCAGCAAATAATTAAATAAACATCAAACAAAAAGCTGTACCTACCAAAGTGTTTGCCCCACATTATTTCTTTATTTGGAAATGCTATGAGGGTTTGCTGTTTAATAATGTTAACCAGGAATTAGAGGTAGTCTTCAAATACAACAATTTGTTGAGTGACTGTTCAAAGTTATAGCGGCACTGAAAATAGTGACTCATGATTGGTTTATACACTTATGACCATTGAGGCATCCCCACAATCACATAATCAAAATTCAGGCACTTGGCAATTGGCATGTATTTATGACAGTTCCACTGTCTTGGGTCATGTGACCTTCCCAGTTGGCTTCCAACAAGCAAAGTCAATGAAGATTTGCTTAACAACAGAAATGTTGGGCTCAATTGTGTTTGTAAGTGGTTGTGGTTGTACCTGTATATTGTATTTCAGTGTTTCTCAGCCGTGCCAACTTTAACTCCAAATCTGGGAGCTGAAGTCCACACATTTTAAAGTTGTCAGGATTGAGAAACTGTTTGTATGTGGAAATGTAAAAACCAATGTTTTACCATTTTGAAGAAGAGATACGACAGTTGCGTCACATCTGCGATATGATCAGCTGCGTCAACAGGTGCCAATGATCCTATGCACTTATTGTCATCATATGGTACTGATTCGTTTTTCTTTTGTTCATTTAAAGATGGATGAAGAAGCCTCGTTGTGGAGTTCCTGATCAGATGAGAGGCAACTCTAGATTTAACATTCGACGAAAACGATATGCTTTAACAGGGCAGAAGTGGCAACACAAATATATCACTTACAGGTATGAAAGCAAAACTGTGACCCTTTAATTTGTAATTTCTTAACACTTTGAAAAATACAGTTTTGCTGCTTAGTGAAAGATAAGAAATTGGTTGTTGTCTAAAAATATGGCTTTGAATGTTTTAGGAGAGAAAGTTCTTGTACTATAAAGGTGGACAATGGGTTTACATATCAAATGTAACTTTGAAGTTTTCAAGGTCAAATCAATTACTTCCTATGTTTGTTTGTTTGTTTGATTTCTGTGCTGCCTATCTTGTCTAGTTAAATCGGATTTGACCAGGAAGGAACAAGAAGCAAAAACTACTCATTTCAATTTACCAATAATAATAGTATGTTGATATACATTTTATAAAGTATAGGAGAAAAAAGAACAGTATGCAGTATTTTATGAAAGAAAATGTGAAGAAGTCATTTTTTTGTCTTGTTTCCCCCAGTAAGATTAGATTGGAAAAGTTGTAAACAAAAGTCTTTTTAGTTGAAAAGCTCAAGGACAAAATTATCAGCATGTCAAAATAAAGTCCGGAGTTAAACTTGTGGTGGCCATATCTGATTCCTGCTCATAAAGTAGAATGTCTATAGAGATTCTCAGTCAACCAGGTCATGGTTGTCCCAAAGGTGCTTTTCAAAAGGCCACTGGACTTCGTTTTTCCTTGAAGACATTTTGCTTCTCATCCAAGAATAATCTTCAGTGAAGAAGATTCAGTCTTCCAAGAAAAACAAAGTCCAGTCGTCTTTTGAAAAAACATCTTTGGGTCATTAGGGAGAAACATAATTTGAATCAAAATTGGAAATCCTTTCCAACTTCCACAGTTATTGTATATTCTTGGATTCCTGAGATCTTTCACAAGATCACTAATACTTCATAAGGCTTTATTATTTTCTCACATCATCTTGGGAAACTTTGGAACGTTTTCAACCAAGTTTATATTTGGTTTTTATTATTTTATTTTATTGGATTCTTGGGGAGATTTGGGACATTCTGATGCTGAAGGATGCCTTGTTGTCAACTGTTCCTTTGAAACATAGCAATAATCACAAATGAGTGATGAGGTTGTGCCTTTTATGGGACTGCTTATAGCTGCTAATTACTCATCCCACTTCCATGATTAATGTTAAAAGAACAGTTCTAACAATGCAGAACGGGTAGAGAAGGGATAAGTTTTCTTTTCACGTTGTAGAAACATGATATCTACTAGTATATTTACAAGTTTATTTAAAGGATTTTTGTGCAACAAGGAAATCTATATGGAGGATATCTTTAGGGAATGACAACATAGATTAATAGAAATCAAACTATTGTGAACCAATTTGATTATTTCTGGAAGGCAACAAAATGCAGTTTATTTAATTTATGATAAATAGCAAATTAGCTGATAAATAGTACATTAAAGTGAGCCCAATAATTCACATTACATGATACTTAATCCATAATAGATCATGACTTTAATGTCAATAAATTGTTCCAAAAAGAAAGTAAAAGCTTCATCACAAGATTTTTAGGTGTATATCCTATCCATGGGATAGGACTGGCATGGACTGTTGCACAAACAATACCTTTCCCTATTGGGCTTAGTCTACCATTGTATGTTCAAATCTGTTTTTAGGTTTTAAAAACCTATTCTGTGGGCTAAAGATGGCCAATCTTTTTTTTTTTTTGCTCTCATGTGACTAGACATTAAGAAGATAGAGAAAGGATCTCTATGACCCAAGACTTTTCTCTTCAAATAGATAATACCCAAGGGTCAATACTCTCCCACTCAAAAAAAATGAGAGTTGAGTTCCAAATAAGACCTGAAAAAAGAAGCAAAACAGAATAATCTGTTAAGAGAAAAAAAGAACACTTACTGGTATAGACGGTAAAGCATGAACAAGTAGGAAAGTATGGTGAATCTAATAGCAGAGAGGTCCTCAACCCCGGTCCTTGGACTGGCACCGGTCTACGGCATGCCACAAACTGGGCCATACAAAAAAGCAAAGGCCCATCTGCAGGATGCAGGCAGCACATGAAATCGCTCCAAATTTTAATTTTCTGTGGACTGGAGAAGTCTAAATGCTCCAGTCTGCAGAAAAACATCTCTCCACAGAACCAGTCCTGTTGCCCAAAAGTTGAGGGCTGCTGTATTAGCATGCATTAGTTATGCATGAACACAGGAATAAGTTATATATGGACAAAGGGCGACCATTAGAAGGCAAAATTAAATAGCATTGAAAATGTTATTTCTACTTAGAATTAGGGAAAAGGGAATGAAATTCACTATATGGATTCAGTGACTAAAAAAAGATCTTCCTGATGGTAGTTTTCTTTTAATGTCTACGAATATATAGGTTAATAGTGGAGTTAGCAGTTGATGATTCAAATGATAATTAAAGAGGAAATGATGCTGAGTATCCTGCCTCTCTACAGATCTTTGTGTTTGCAAGATCTTAGTATGATTAACTGAATACCCTTATAAACATCCCAATACTGACAACCTAATAGGGCATCATTTCCCATTGTAGATATTTGTAGACGCATTCATATAAATATATTTTCCTTACCCACATCTAGTTTTTAGTGTTGAACTGAAAAGAAGGTCTATATAAATAACTATACATCCATAATCAGGCATGCTTGTATATACATCCTCAGGTCCATACACTTTTTAGTTTTGGGTGGAAAAGAATTCAACACAAAGGCTTCAATGTCTATTATATTCAATCAGGATAATTTATCTATTTATGGAACCACCACAATTCCTGAAAGCAAATTGTTACCATATCTTTATAAGGTTGTTGTTATTCCATCCAGAAATTTCAGTCTTTTAGGAACATAATGAACATGTTAATCTCTTGATATCCTTCAGATATCTTCCCTAATCTTTCCTATTTATTGTTTAGTAGTCAGTCGTATTATTGGCCTTAGCATCATCCAAGGAACAATAAATTAGTTAATGGCAGCTTAGAAAATATTTTGCTTTTCTTTGATTCCTTTGGTCTAATTTCATAGGCACATTTTAAGCCAAGGCATTACAAATATTGCTTGCTAATAAATAAATAAGTTCCTGGAAAAAAACTTCAATTTTAATTTCTAAATTTGCTTTAAATATTTATTTATTATTTATTTATTTACTAAATTTATCTCATGCCCATCTCGTCAGTGATGAGTTAGTTAGGAATAACATATATTCTTTTTGCTTGTGTATTTTTTTTGCTAATAATTCAGTAATTTGATAATATACTGTAATTATATATTTAATATATAAATATATATTATGTCTGAAATAGTTGGCCTATTTCTGATCAATTATTTTCAGTAATCACCAATCCAGTAAGATATACATTCAGTATATAAAAAAGTGCATTCAAATTCATGTGTTATCTAATATTTTAGCTACCAGGTAATTTTAAGTAACATATTATTTTCTGTCTTACCAGTTTCTTATTTGTCCTGGCTTCTGCTTCAGAAATATTTCCATTATTATTTGATATTTATATTCCCTGAATGATATTTGTTCCCAGTATCACTTGCTATCTGTGAAGTCCATTTTATTTTTATTTTTTTTTAATTAAACTTTATTGAGATTTTCTTTTAAAAAAAACAAACAAAAAACAAAGGACAAAAACAAAAGAGAAATAAGAGGAAAAAACAAACAAACATTCAAACAATAACATGAAACAACATATACATAATATAGCTTTTCAATTTGTATCGGATGTGCAGTGTTTTAACTATTTCCATAAATAATACTTGGTGACATTTTAACTCACTTTTAACCATTATTTAATACACCTTTAGATCTTTCTTTCATTCTATCATGCAACCACTTGTACCACCTTTCCCACACCATATAGTAAACTGACTTTTCATCATTTAATTCATAGGTTAATTTAGACATCTCTGCGCACTCAAGTATTTTCTTAATTGTAAGCTCTTCTGGTGGTTGAATTTTCTCTTTCCAATACTGTGCGTATGCCAATCTAGCGGCTGTAATTATATGGATCATTAAATGCATCATTTCCTTTCTATATGGCTTCTTTATTATTCCCAGGAGGAAAATCTCTGGTGTTAATGCAATATCTTCATCAGTTATTTCATATAACCATCTCCTAATTTTATTCCAGTATCCTTTTGCTTCCGGGCATGTCCACCACATGTGAAAGAAGGTGCCTTGACCGTGGCCACATTTCCAACAATTGGGATGTATATTGGGATATATCTTCGCTAGTCTGGCCGGGGCTAAGTACCATCTATGAAACATTTTGTAATGGTTTTCCTTATATGTCACCGCTCTAGTCAATTTAAGATTTCTGTTCCATGCCTCCTCCCATTCCCCAAAATTTATATTGCGCCCTATATTTTTCTCCCATGCAATTATTTGATTCTTCGTGACATCTTCGAACTTGTCACCGTTTAATATATAATTGTATAATTTTGCCAGAATCTTTTTGTTTGTTCCCATCAAGACTTTATCCAGTCCGTTTGATCCCAGTTCTAAACCATATTGTTCTTTGTCTTTCTGATATCTGGATTTTACTTGTGCATAAGTCCACCAATCTAAAGTTATTCCTTGCTCTCGTAGAATATCATTTGGTTTAAGCCACCCTCTTTCGTCTAGGATATCTTTATATCTGCCCATTTTCTCCCTCTCCCACCTATTTGGGTGGGTCAGGGCCTCCATCGTTGAGAGCCAATTTGGGATTTTTTTGTAATATTTTTGCCTAATCTGGGTCCATGTTTGTATCAGGGAATCTCTAATTTTGTGTCTATGAAAATGTGTCTTCCTTTTCTTCTCCGTTTCCCAGATGTGGGCGTGCCAGCCTTTTTGCAGGTCATGGCCTTCTAAGGTAAGAATTCTCTTATTTTCCAGGGTGATCCAATCTTTTATCCATACTAGCTTGGCTGACCTGTAGTATGTTTCCCAGTCCGGGAGTCCAAATCCACCTATGTCTCTTTTGCCCCTTAAAATTTTAATGGAAAATCTCGGTTTTTTCCCCTCCCATATGAATTCTCTAATAATTTTG